GGGTATGGGGGACAGGGGACAGGGAGGCCCCCCGGCCACACCAGGTACACGTCCTGGCATTGCACGCTGAGGCAGCCTGCCCTGCACACTGCGCCTTCCTGGGGAGCTGTTGTGACCGGGACCCAGAAGCTCCTAACCAGCAGCCAGCCAGGGTCACCGTCACACGGGCACCAGGAAACCCCATCCGGAGTGACACCAGACAGTGAAACATAGGAAATCTCAGCACAAAATGAAAGTCCTAGGAAGGAGCCAAAGGAGGCAGCGGTGCCCAGACATGCACACAGCGTGCAACCCAGGGGCAGGACAGCCTCAAGCCTCAAGCCGCAGGTGCCCGCACAGAGGAAGGTCACCAAGGGCACCCCGCAGCTGTGATCGAGGACAGTGGACCAGCTGCGCGAGACCCAGCAAGGCTGGCTCCTAGTGAGGACGTCTGCCACAGGTGGAGACCACAGGACACAGCAGCCCAAGGTGTGTGCCACGCACCGGGCTTCCGAACCCCTGGGGCTAAGGCTGGGGGACCCGAACTGGGACAGACAGATGGACAGCTCAGGATCAGGCTGGGGCTTAAGCCCGCCCCAAGCAGCCATGCATGAGGGAGATGGCAGGCGTGAGGTGAGTGAGGGCGTCCGAGCAACCCCTGCCAGGTGCGCGGACAACACGCCCGCACAGAGCTCACCCCCAAGTCACAGGGCCTGCTGCGCTTACCCCAGTCCTGGCTCCGACACCTGGCTGCGGGCATGGAGGGTTCAAGGAATTTCCAGAGCAGCTCACAGGAGTCAGAGACACACGAAGAAAGTCGTGTCACAACATTCACAGTGCTTAACACCCATGAGAGATGCAGAGGACAGTGACATGGAGAAGGGACCAGGGTCAGGAGGGCAGCATATTACCACTGTGCTTCTGGGGCTCAGGGCTTGTGAGCTTGGTCACCCAGGGTCCCTCCCCTTCCTGGTCCTGTCCTCTCCTGTCCTCTCCTCTACTGTCCCATCCTGTCCCGTACTGTCCTCTCCTCTTCCGTCCTCTCCTGTCCCGTCCTGTCCCATCCTCTTCTTTCCCATCCTCTCCCATCTTGTCCTCTCCTCTCCCGTCCTGTCTCGTCCTGTCCCATCCTTTCCCATCCTGTCCTCTTCTCTCCTGTCCCATCCTCTCCCATCCTGTCCTGCCCTCTCCTGTCCATCATGTCCCATCCCGTCCTGTCCTCTCCTGTCCTGTCCTGTCCCGTCCATGAGCCAGAACTGCTGGTACCTCTAACCAGCGTGATTCCTGTGTAGTCTAAGCTTATCAAATAGCTTTTCTTCTCCAACCTTCTGAGATCCTAAATCCAGCCGTGCACCTCCTGCTTCCTGCCCGCTGGCCCTTGTTGCTGGGAAAACCCAGTTGGTTCCCATGGATCCTTGACTCACTTGCTGGGTCCCAGGTGCCACCCTTCAGCTCGGGGAGTCTTGCTCTCACTTCTGAGGGGCTGCTGGTCCTGGCCTATGGGTTACTGGGTCCCATGGGATGGGGAGTGAGCGTCCCCCACCGTCTGTCCCCAAAGCTCAGATAGATCAAAGCGCAGTAGAGCTCAGCCATGAAGCTGCCAACCGGCGACGTGGTGGGAAGCATCTGGTGACAGTGAAGCGTCCCCCACCCTCTTTCAGGGATGTGTGTGCAGGTCGGCGTTCTGGGGCATCTTCACGGCCTCTCAGGCCTCCACCTCCATGGCCTCTGGATCCCCACGTCTGTGGCCTCTTCACCCCATTGTTCTTGATCAAGCTCAGCATGGCTCGCCCAGGACCTTGGGGGATCACGTTGTTGAGTCTGGGGGGGCCTGACCCCCCCCTCATCTGCAGGGCTCACAACACCCTCTTTACTGATGTCCTCTCTGTAGGGGCTGCTCCCTTCCCTTCCCCTGGGGCGGCTCCTTCCTGTTCCCATCCCAGCCCCCATGCCAGCCCCCAGGATGGCCCCCAGGACAGCCCCTAGGACAGCCCACACGCCAGGCCCCACACCGGGGCCCTAAAGGCATCTGCTCGTTCCACCAGTGGCTCTTTCTGTACTGGGCCCCGGGGGTGAGTGTGAACCAAGTGTCCCTATGCTGCCACCAGCTCCAAAGCAGCAGCTCCAGGCCACGGAAGGTGAGCGGCAGGTGCTTCCGGGGCCCACACACCGGCTCCGGCACTCTGCTCTCTGCCTTAAGGTCAAGCTTGCAAACGGCTGATGCCAAAATCCTCTGTGGAAGCTGGCAAGGCCACTGTGCTTCCCTAGGCTCCTACCGCCTGCCCCCTGGGGGCCGCTGGCAGCACACAGCGCTCACCCAGTGACCCGGGGCTCATTTCAGAACCAGGCTTCTCCAGCATTGAGCACCAAGCTTCGGTAGGAACCCAGAGATGACTTGGCACAGAATGTTCTAGATGGGGGCTGCAGGGTGGGCTGCGCTGGCCTTTCTTTGAAAGAGCAGGGGCTTCAGGTGGCCTCAGATGAAACAGCGTGAGACCCCTCCTGGGACGGGAGCTCCCAGAACGAGGATTGGGACGACAGCAAGGGAGTGTGCAAGAGGGGGTGCTGCATGTAGGCAATGAGAATTTTTTTTAATTGTGGCAAAATATACAGAACATGAATGACATCACCTTAGCATTTTTAAGTGCACAGCTCAGGGGTGTCAGGGCGCATGCTCAGTCCTGTGCTGTCCCCTCTGATGGTCACTGGAATGTGGTCCTCTTCCCACCCTACTGCTCATGCTCTCTTTCTCTCAGATCAATCAATTTTTAAAAATCTATTTTTTTTAAAAAAAAGAGAGAGTGTGATGACACATTTGGGACTATTTTGGCACGTTCTATTTTATATGCTACGATAATGATGTGCGTAGTGACAATGAGTGTAAGCACACCAAGTGCCTGGAGCTCTGGGGGCACAGGGAGGCGGGGGTCCACCGGCTTCATCAAGGGTTTGTACGGGGAAGGGGCCTCCACCAGAGAGGGGTATTCTTTCCCGAAGAAAGGTCACCCACTAATGTGCAGGTTTGGGGGCCCCTGGCACTGCCATCACGGCCATGCCCCGTGTCCCGCTGACGTGTTCTCCCGAGGCCACGCTGCCTCCTGGTCCTGCTGGAGCCCAGCTACAGGGAGGGGTCCTGGGGAAGCAGGGCAGGCTTGCACGCAGCCTATCTCCCTGAGCAGAAGCCTCTGACCCTCCTTGGCACCAGGAGTTCATCCTGAGGGGTGTAGTTCCCACTCCTGCGTTTACAGGCCCCCCTCCTCCCACCCACTTCCACAGCACAGGGGTCCTGGCAGGAAGGGAAGTGCCCGTTGGGCCCAGTCTTCTCCAGGCCCCACTTGCTGGGGCAGCAACCTGGGAAAGTGGGACCCCGGGGCCTGGGTCTCCCCCACCCTGGACAACATCAATCATGTTAGACTTGGGAGGCCTCTTTCTCTTGCGTGTTCCTCTAGTGGAATTCTCTGGAACCCCGTTCCTGGAAATGAACAGATTCGTTCCGAACAGTCAGCGTTGGCAGGAACACAGCAGGATTTCTGAGGCCTGGGCCAGGCAGACGCCCCATAGCCACAGGAGGGACCAGGGGAGGCTCTGCCCACGGCTGCCACAGGAAGGCCACCTGAGAGGCCACCCAAGACCCTCCTCTCCCCACCCCGCCTTCCCCAGGAGCCCAGGACCTGTGGGCTCCCCAAAGGTGGGCTCTTCCCCTGTACAGGGGTGAATCGTCTCTGCAGAAAGAAAGCAGAGCTGGTGTGGGAGAGTCCTTAGGCTCCATCCAAGCTGCTGACAGTGACATGTGGTAGAAAGGCCCAACACATAGGCCATGGGCACCTGGAAAGGCCCAACGCATGTGGGCGTGGGGTGTAGCTCCCAAGGCCCCGCATCAGGAGAGCAAGACTGCATCTGTAGGATTCGCTGGGGCAGCTGTCCCCCTCTTTGCTCCATTGTCCAACCCATGCCCTCCTCCCCAGGGGTGCGCAGGCCTTGGCACCCCTTCCCTCGGGGCACGGGGCTCACTCCTCTCCCCCGAGGGGGCTGGTTGGCCAACGTGGATCATCAGGACATATTCTGTGACTGGTCTCTTCTCCTCCAAACTCCTCAGGGGCACACCTGTAGCTCCGGGTCGCCAGAGACAGGTCGCACGAGGAGCCACAGTGAGTGCTTCAGAAGAGGTAAAGCATGGGGGTCTGGCAGGCTCGGGGCCCCAGCACTATGGCCTTTCCGATCACAAGGAAGCTGCCCATGCTGCGCCCGCAGGCACCCTGCCCTGAGGGGACCCACACAGCCATCTGGCGACCCTGCTGATTGCAGGAGACATCACCGCAGCCCGGTGACTCGGCACCTGAGCCTGCAGAGGGCTCGTTGCCTCGGGCGCCACCGGAACTTGCTGTACCCACAACCGCTTCCTGCAGTGGGCGGTGGGGGGGGGGTGTGTGACCCAGGAGGATCTGATGCCGAAGGCTGGAGGGTAAATAGGACAAAACCAGGAAGGACCACATCCTTTCAGGGAGGCTGGGCATGGGTGACCGGGGAGGCGGGGGGGGGGGGGGAGCTGCAGGAAGGAGCAGGGGTAAAGGGACATAGGTGATGTCTGTCCCTTGTGCAGGACACACGGCCACCACAGACACGTCACCCACAGACCCCAGGGCTGGCAGGGGGCTCTGAGGTCACTGGCTGAGCCCTGAGGCCCACCCTCCGGGAAGCAGCTGCACCCAATGCTGACTCTGACTTGTTGCCCAAGACTGCGACCCAGGAAGTGTTACCGACGCTGGCGGCCAGCCCTCACCCTCCGGCCCCCACCCTCCCCTCTGGGACCTGCCAGGAGCCGTCCAGGCCCCAGGGACACAGGGACCTTCCCGATTCCACTGGGAGGGAAGAGGCCTCCTATTGTCCTGGTGGAGGAAGCCCCCTGGGGGCCTGGGGATGAGCCCGGGGATTCCGGGAACCGCATGGGGGACTGGACGGTGCTGACCCGCACGCCCCCGCCCCTACATAAGGACCCGAGCCCACTGCTCGGCCTCGCTCACTCCCGGGAGCTCAGCGCAACCACAGCCGCAGCCATGAGGAGCTTCTTGCTTGTCCTGGCCCTCGTGTGTGGCATCCAGGCCACCGTCGTCCCCCGGACCATGGAGGACCTGGACCTCCAGAAGGTTCGAGGACGGCCGGGGTGGGTGGTGAGCTGCAGGGTGGCCAGGGAAGGGTGTCCTCCACAGGCTCTGGGGCATGAGCAGAAGCCATGACGTCGGGAAACCTGCCCCTGGCTCTCCGCCTTCAGGGTGGCTTGTCATTTGGTTTCCCCAGTCCCAGAAGGTTCTAGGGAACTCATGTGACTTGTACTTCAGACCCACCTGGGTAACAGGTGCATGATTTCCAGTGTGGAAATCCTGTAGCCCCGTGTCTGGTAGATGGCCAAGGGTCATCCAGAGCCCACTGACTGCCACCCGCTTAGACTTGGCCCCTGGCCTGGGTGGGAGGGGGAGTCCTCTGTGGGGACGAGAAGGGGCGCAGAGGCAGCTCACGGCCCCTTCCCCAGGTGGCTGGGACGTGGCACTCCATGGCCATGGCGGCCAGCGACATCTCCCTGCTGGATGCTGAGACCGCCCCTCTGAGAGTGTACATCCAGGAGCTGAGGCCCACCCCCCAGGACAACCTGGAGATTGTTCTGCGCAAATGGTGGGTGTGCAACCTCTCCCAGGCTGGGGGCCAGTGAAGGTTTGGCTTCTGGGTAGGCAGGTGGGAGGGCAAGTGGACAGACAGGTGGATGGGCAAGTGAACAGGCAGGTGGATGTGCAGTTAGGTGGGCAGGTGGAGAGACAGGTGGATGGGCAGGTGGGCAGGCAGGTGGGCGGGTAGGTGGGCAGGTGAGCGGGCAGGTGGAAGGGCAGGTGGATGGACAAGTGGAAGGGCAGGTGGATGGACAGGTAGATAGTCAGGTGGTAGGGCAGGTGGATGGGCAAGTGGGTGGGCAGGGCACTGTCCCAATGGGAGCAGTTTCATGTGTGTTGGAGCCCCCACCCAGGGCTCTGGGCCAACAGGCCAACCTCACAGGGTGGCCCCAGGTCAGGGTGCAAAGAGGCCTGTGTGGAGACTGACAGGTCAGCTCTGGGGCTGGGCCCTGGGGGCCCGGGCAGGTCCTGCCATGAGCCCTGTCTGCCCCTGGAGTGGGGTGGGGTGTAGGAGAGAGCTGGGTGAGTGTGGGGGCCAGAGAGTAGGACCCAAACCCCATGATGGCCAGCCAAATGCAGACTATCGCCCCTGACTGTGGGCTCAAGGGCACTCCCAGCAGGTTTTCCCTCTGGTTCCATCTGCCCCTCGTGGTCCTGTCCTATCTGGTCACCTGCCACCCGCTAGAGATTATGATGAGTACATCCCAGGTCCAGCTACCAGTCCGGGGCCCTCCTGGAGCATGGCCCCTCCTCCCCACTGTGGTTTGGCTCCAGCACAGTAAGGCCTGTGCAGCCGGCCCACAGGAGGAACCTTCTTTCAGGGAGGACGGCAGGTGTGCTGAGCAGAAGGTCCTGGCAGAAAAAACCGAGGTCCCTGCTGAGTTCAAGATCAACTGTGAGTGCTGGGCAGCTGGGCCATGAGGGACCCCAACCCGCCAACTCACAGGCAGGGCCGTGGGGCTCATGTTCTGGCCTGAGGGTTCCTCAGTGCCTGCTCTCACTGCCATTGCCACCATCCGTGCTCTGGCCTGGGGCCCCAGGGAGTCTCTGCTGGGCTGCTCTGACCCCTGCACCCCTGCAAGCACCTCCTGCACACTTGGCCAGGAGACCAAGCTCGCTGCCTGTGGGCGGGGCCTGGGGGAGCCTGTCCTCCTGGGCCATCTGTGCCCAATGAGACACCTGCTCCCAATGGTCAGGGCTCCATGATGCCCCAGACACTCCTGGGCTCCTCTGCTCCTCCACTCCTGTTGGGCTCATTCCCTCCTATGCTCGTTCTGCATTCCTCACTGAATCCAAAATGAGACGGCCCCGCGGCAGGGGCAGCTTCCACCACAGCTGTCCCCCCCAGCAGGCAGGCTAGGCTGCGACCACCTTTGCCCACCCCGGGCCAGCCCCCAAGACTGGCTTTGACTGGAGGAGGAGGCTTCACAGGACCGTTGCTGACCAGCCCCAGGGGCTCCACACCATTTGCCGCAACGGGGCTAGGATGTGGGCACTGGCTGCGCAGCTGCCAGGAGGCAGTGCGGTGCATCAGGGCCCACCGGCGCTGGTCCCTCATCTCCATGGGGACACAGCTCCGCCGCCAGAGGCCACTCTTCTCCCCCCCGAGGTGTCCAATTCACTCAAACTCAGTGTGGAAACCACTTTTAACCACGCTGGGTCCCAGGCTGCGGGGCTGGGGACATCCGGGATCTAGTGAGGGGCAAGCGCCATTTAGGAGGTGGCCCCATGGGGCCTTGTGCGGGTCCCAGGGAAGCCCCCCGCCCAGGCCTTGCCAGGTGCTGGCCATGGGCACCTCACACGTCCCCTCCTGCTGGAGTGGAGAACCTGAGTCCAATACCCCATCCTGGTGTCCCCCCAGATGTGGAGGAGAACCAGATCTTCCTGCTCGACACGGACTATGACAACTACCTGTTCTTCTGCATGGAGAACACGGATGCCCCCCAGCAGAGCCTCATGTGCCAGTGCCTGGGTATGCGCCCCTGTGCCCGCAGAGAGCACGGCTGCTCGGTCCTCCCTGTGACCTGCGGTGGGCGGTGGACACGTCTTGAGTCCCCAGGGGGCCCCAGGGCTTGTCAGGAGAAGGTGGTCAGGTGCTGAAGAAGAGGGCGCCTTGGGGACTGTGAGTAGCTGGTGACAGGGACAGATGTGAGCTGCTGTGACCATCTCTAAACGGGCAGGTTCAAAGCCTTTGTAAACGTAGTTGCTTTTATTTCACCAAAAGACAAGTCAGAGATAAACATGTCTTTGAATTGTAACATCCTGAAAACAAACATAAAGTGACATTTTCACAGTCCCAGAAACACCATCGGGGCTCCCAGCCTCCCCAGGGGACCACGAGCTGGGGGACAGAGGCCCCCAGTCCACATGTCAGCAGCCCGCAGCGGCAAGCCATCTCTTCCCATGTCCACGCAGACCCCCTGCGCTGCCCTGGGGTGAGGGGGAGGGGACAGGGACCCTGGAGCCCAAGACTGACCTCACTCCACCCCCCCACAGCCAGGACCCTGGAGGTTGACAACGAGGTCATAGGGAAATTCAACAGAGCCCTCAAGACTCTGCCCATGCACATGCAGCTCTTGAACCCCACCCAGGCGGAAGGTGAGCACCCCACACCCCACACCTCACACCCCTGCTTTCACTCTGCGTGTGGTTCACCTGCCAGACAGCCATGAGCACCGGCCCCCCATCCCCCAGGCCTCCCTGGACAGGGTGGAGCAGGAGGTTACAGACCCTGAGGGGGATCCCTCTCCCCACCCCATCTCCATCCCCTCTGGGCCTGGGGCTGTCCTGACGACCTGTGACCCCCCCTACTGCTCTCCTCCCCCACAGAGCAGTGCCTCATCTAGTGAGCTCTCACCTGACCCGTCTCCTGGGTAACGTACTAGCCCTGTCCCCGCCCACCCAGCCTGGATATGTGCATGGGTTGGGGGCATCCCAAGGGACCCCGGCTCCCCTCTGTCTGCCCCTGGCTCCTCTGCGGGAACGGCTGGAACCTGGCGTCCCTCCCAGTGACTCCCGGGGCCAGGCTGGCCGCATGCCCACTCTCTCTTTCTCCAGTGGTCTCTCTGGGGTGTCCTTCCCATGTCCCTGTCAAGCTCCCACGTGATGTCCCCATGGCCTCTCCTGGGCGAGGTGGGGCAAACATGGGGGGCTGGTGTGGAGTGACCAGTCCGCAGCCTGAGGCGGACAGGCCGGGCCCCACCCTCAGGGTCTGATAGGCTCCCCAGGAATCACAGGGGAGCCCCCGTCTGTTTCAGGGCCCTGAGGTGACATTACCCCGTCTGTCCCCCGTCAGAGGAATCAGGGGGGACGGAGCCCCAGGTCCTGCCAGTCCTGCCCTTCCAGTCCCCAGGCTCCTTGGAGCTCCAGCCTGGGTCCCCCTGCCCTGAGCCTCTCCTCCTCCAGCAATAAAGAGATAAACCAGAGCAGTCTGCCTGGGTCTTTCCTGGTTGAGGCATGAGGGGTGGGCAGGGTGGGGGGTGCAGGGCAACAGGGAGGGGGATGTGCGGGGCAGAGGGTGCGGGGTTCAGGCCTGGGCCCCACAGTCCATGGCATCTGGGCATCAGCACTCGTGATGGGATCTCTCAAGCCCAAGGAAGGAGCCGAGGGGCTGCAGGCGTGCCTGTCATCCCTGCACACCGGGCAAACGTCACAAAGGACCACAAGTGAGAAGGGCTGAACACTTAATCTGATAACTATCGATAGGAAACCATAAACACATTACTTGCCAATCAAATTCTGTGCTCTTATGAAAGCGCCACCCGTGACCCTGGAGGCTGTGTCTCAGGAACATGAGGCTGACTGCGCCAGGAAGACCTTGGGCTTCAAGCCTCATGTTCTGACAAGCGCACTGACCCGTTCAGGGCGAGAACGAAGCAGAGGCTCCCCGGGTTAGCAGGTCTAGGAAAAGCAGTCAGAGGCGGAAAGGAGACTTGTTTTCCGCAGACGTTTACTGGCATAAACGTAGGAGTGAACCCCACAGAACCAGGGCTCCTTCAATAACCAGAACAATTCACATTTAACAACATATACACATATTTTTATGTATGTAAAATTATATATAAATGTTACATACACATAACAGTTTATGTATAATTTTGATGTTTTAAAACCATAGATGGAATAGATACATTTCTAGAAAAACATTAATGACCAATTTTGGCTAAAAGGAAAACTTGAAAAATTTCTTTTAAATTTTTAATTGAAATATAGTTGATCCATGACATCACATTAGTTTCAGGGGTACAGCAGAGCGATTCGACAAGTGTGTACCCTGCAGAACGCACAAGTGTGGTCGCCACCTGTCACCGTATGAAGTTAGTACAGTGTTACTGACTGTGTTCCCTCTGCCGTATTTCACATCATTGTGACTTATTTATTTTACAGCTGGAAGCTTGTACCTCTTCATCCTCGCCACCTATTTTGCCCGCCCCACCCACTAGTGACCACCAGTTCGTTCTCTGTATTTATAAGTCTGCTTTTTTTCTTTGTGGTTTATTTTCTCATTTGTTATGTTTTTTAGATCTCACCTATCAGTGAAATCAAATGGTGTTTGTCTTTCTATTTCACAATATCCTCTAGGTCCTCCCCTGTCATCATAAGTGGCAAGATCCCACTCCTCGTGATTGCTGAATATATTCCATTGTGTATATGCACACCGCATCTTTCTTTACCCATTCATCCAAGGACAATGCAGGCTGCTGCCATGTCCTGGCTGTTGTCAACGATGCTGCAGTGAACACAGGGGTGCAGATATCTTTCCAAATCGGTGTTTCCATTCTCTTCAAATAAATACCCAGATGTGGAATTTCTGGGTTGTATGGCACATCTATTTTTAATTTTTTTAAAGATTTTTTTAAAGATTTTTTTTATTGATTTGAAAGAGAGAAAGAGAGTGCGAGCAAGCATGAGTAGGAGGGGACAGGGGGAGGAGGAGGAGAGAGAAATTCAAGCAGACTCCACACTGAGTGTGAAGCCCTACGTGGGACTCAGTCTCACCACACTGAGATCACAACTGAGTGGAGACCAAGAATCGAACGTTTGACTGAGGGAGCCACCCTGATGCTCCTATTTTTAATTTAAAAAAAAAAAGATTTGAAAAGAACTATAGCTATAGAAAATCAAGAGCAGTTCCAGACCCCAGTCTATAGGCGAGAGCCACCAAACTGCTATCAGATGGTTCCTAGCTCAGACAGTCGCCCCAAGGTGTAGACACAGATAGGAAGTTGCTAGACTCTCCTATGACAGAGCTGGAAGAGGAGGAGGCAAGGAAGAAGAGGGCAGACATCCCCTTTTAGGATAAAGACAAATATCTAAATGATTTATTACCACGTTGAATCTAATGATGATTTCAATACATCATGATTTAACCCAGAGAGTCAAGGACATTTCCATATTAGAAAACACATTCAAACTTCACTAGCTAAGAGAGTAACTTTAATTGGTTTTTTAAAATACTTCAAATATATCATATCCCTTTAACAAGGCAAACTTTTCACTATCAAGAGTGACACTCAACACAAGCTGGTCTACACCACATTAACAAACAACCTTAAAATCTCAGTGACTCAAAGCATCATATATATTTCTTGTTTATTGCAAATGTCCTTTACCGTTTAGCAGGGATATTGCACCTCATGGCCACTCAGGAATCCAGGTGGTTAAACAGCCACCCCCAGGAGGTTGCCGGTCACCATATAGAGGGAAACTGTAGACCTCCAGAGAGCCTCAAACCATCCGTTCAATGCTCCATCCGGAAAGGAATACACGTCACCTCCCTTCTCCACCTATAGTCCAGAAGTTGTCACTCAGCTAGAGGGAAGCTGAAAATAAAATCCTGCCTAGGACTGGAAGGGAATATCCCTACACTGGTAATTAAAAACAAAAACAAAACAAAAAAACTTAACTAGCGGACATCATTTTTAAGGGTGAGAAACTCATTGCTTTGCCCTTATGATTGACAGCAAAGCACGGCTGTCCTCTGCCGGTACTCTGTTCAATACGTGCTGAGGGTCTTACTGCAATAAGACAATGATAAGAAAGAAAAGACATAAACATTGAAAAGGAAACATCTAGCATCACCAACAAAACAAAAAAAGAGAGAAGACACAAATTATTAGCTCAGGAATGAAAGAAGGGATCTCACCACAGGCCCTGCAGACACCAAAGGACGATAAGGAAATCTATGAACACTTTTATACACATAAATTTGACAACTCAGACGAAATAGACCAATTCCTCAAAAAATACAAATGACCACAACTCCTCCAGCATGAACTAGATCATCTGAATAGCCCCATGCTTATTAAGAAAATTTAATTCCTGGGACACAGGATGATTCAGTGGTTGAGTGTCTGCCTTTGGCTCAGGGTGGGATCCTGGGGTCCTGGGATCGAGTCCCCACGGGGCTCCCCACAGAGAGGCTGTTTCTCCCTCTGCCTGTGTCTCAAGATGTGATTTCAGGGTCGTGAGATTGAACCCTACATCGGGCTCCAGGCTCAGTAGGGAGTCAGCTTGAGATTCTTTCTCTCTTTCCCTCTGTTCCTCCAAATCATGTTCTCTCTCTCTTAAATAAAAAAAATCTTTAAATAGGGAATGATGAATGCTTTCATCAATGATGGATGGATGGTGAGAAGGTGAATCATGGATCATGACAAGGATCCCTGCTCCCAATCCTCTTAGTCATCAGAGTGCAGAAAGTTCTAGGCAGGACAATAAAGCAAGAAAAAGTAAAAAAAAATAAAAAATAAAAATAAAATAAAAATAATAATAATAATAAGGCATGCAGTTCCAAAAGGAAGAAATAAAAGTATCTCTATTTGCAGATAATACAATTAACTATGTAGAAAATCTTAAGGAATCTGCAAACAAAAGCAAAAACAAAACAACAACAAAACCTTCTTGAATTAATGAGCTCATCAAGGTGGCAAAATATATGAAAAACATACAAAAATCAATTATGTTTCTAGCAATAGACTGTGGACACTGAAATTAAAACACAATGCCAGGGCAGCCCCGGTGGCTCAGCGGTTTAGTGCTGCCTTCGGCCCAGGGCGTGATCCTGGAGACCCAGGATCAAGTCCCACGTCGGGCTCCCCATGGAGCCTGCTTCTCCCTCTGCCTGTGTCTCTGCCTCCCTCTCTCTCTGTGTTTCTCATGAATAAATAAATAAAATCTTTTTAAAAAATGCCATTTATAATCACTCCCAGAAAAGTGGAATGCTTTGATGTAGATCTAATGAAACATACATAGGGTCTGTAGGCTGAGGACCATGCCACAGTGAGGGAAAAAAATCGAGGAAAATCTAATAAATAGTCTTACTGTGTCCGTGAACCAAGACTCAGCAGCGTAAAACATGTCAATTCTCCTCCAGGGGTATACAGCTTTCATGCAATTCCTGTCAAAATCCCAGTAGGGTTTTTCTGTAGACAAGATTATTGTAAGATGTTTATGGAAAGACAAAGGTCCTAGAATAGCTACAGTAATTTTGGGGAAAAAAATGATAAAGTGGGAGCAATCACTCCATCCATAAATTTTAGGTTTCATAAATTTTAAATCTTATTATATAGCCCAAAGAATCAAGGCAGTGTACGTGTAGAGGCGGAGACACACAGATCTGAAGAACAGAGTGAAGAGCCCAGAAACAGATTCACACAAACACACCCGGCAGCAGGCAGGTGTTGGGGTGGGGTATCCCTAAAACCTGCCATGTCCTCCCTAAATTATGTTTAAGCCCAAGCAGGGCTGCCAGCAAACAATGGCCTCTCCTTGCCTCAGTCTCCCCAGGTCCCCCAGAAGAAGGAACCTCGTTCCTCCACATTGCAGCCCAGCACTGCTCGCATGGCCCGAAGTTTCTGCTACTATGCACGTCCCAGCCGGTTATCAAAACTGCTCCCTGAGAAACCCTGCAGCTGAGCTTCCTGGCTTGGAGACAGGGCGGTGGGGAGACCCGACGGCAGAGCTCCCATTCCTGGAGTTACCACCAGCTTGCCGAGGGATCCAGGGATCCAGGGATGGAGGGATCCAGGGATGGGCCTCCAGGTTTCCACCGTCGGCTCTCTGCAAAAGGATTCCTCGCTCTCAGTTACCCCAAAAGGGAGAGAAACCAGCGACGCCCCAGAAGCGGTGGGATGATGGGAGATGGGATGTCTGCAGGATGGAGCTGGAGCAAAGCACTCACAGAAATGTTTCACGCCGAAGGGGACAGTGCGGGCTGGTGCGGAGCAGACACACAGGCCTCGGGTTTTCTCCCTCGGAATCCTAAAGATTTGACTCAAATGCAAAACCTCACAGCTACAGAAGGAAAAGCTTCGGCTCCCGCCCAGGCCAGGCGTCCTTCGGATGGCCACTTGGTGGCACCCGAGTCCCCTCGTTCCGTGAACACGGCAGGACCCAAAGTATTCAGAAAGGGGCGGGGAAGTTCTGCCCAAGGGGCTCCACCGTCCTGCCCTTGGCAGCCTGTCCCTAACCCCCATGCTAGGCCTGACTCAGAGCTGTCTCCTCAGGAGCCACTGGGGACTGCCACTTGATGTCCACGGTGTCCACGTGATGTCCTCCGGTGATGCCCACGGCGTGCGCTTGGTGTCTAGTCTGCAAGGACGTGTCAGCCTCTGACATGGCCATCACCGTGACCGTGACCGTCCTGGGTCCACCGAGCCCAGGCATGCGCAGTGACCCCCGTGTGTGAGCTACCGTGTGGAGCCCGCCTCAGATTCACAGCCCGTGCCCAGGTGCTTGCCGTCCTGCCCAGCACGCCTGGCCCCTCCCCAGGCCCATTCCCACACACAGACACGGGGGACAGGGGGACCCCTCCCAGGGCTGTCACCTGAGATCCCAGATTCCACCCTGGATGCTGCGGGGACACTCCCTTGGTGAAGGCCCTAGTGACCTCTCCATGGCTGGGAGCTGGTCTCCTCGTGTCCATGGGTGAGGAGGACCCCAGACAGGCAGGGCTGGACAGTACCTCACCCCCAGATTACAATGGTCACAGCAGCAAGTCTGTCTGACAGTCCCTGGGGCTCTCAGGGCAGAGTCCCAGCAGGCCCAGGGCTCCCGCAGACACTCCAGTCTTGACCTCTGATGTCAATGACTTGTATGCTCGTCGGGGTAGGGGGACGACAGGGGGAGATGGAAGAAGAAAACCCCTCCCCCCTGCCCCTCTGTGCTCTGCCCTGGCTGTTCCAGCAGGGACGTCTTCTCAAGTCCACCTTGTATAAGTTTCTTGACTTTTTTGGAAATGATCTGGGGCTTGGACCCTGCTCCCTAGGACACAGCCAGTTCCTGACACCCACCTGAGCACTCTCCACAGCCTGCATCCAGGCACCTGTGACCTCGGCCCTCCAGGCTGGCTGGCTGCCCAGCTGCTGCTCCGAGCCTGACCTCCCCAACGTGGCCTCGTCTCCCCATCCCCGCCAGCCTGGCCTCGGGGACAGTGGGTGACCCTGACAGACTCACAGCCCACGAGCCAAAGTGTCACTCCAATCACACCCTTCCACTGGCTACCGTCACACAGAGGGAACCAGTCTGTACGTGACCCAGGAGCTCCCAGGACCTGGCCTCGTGACCTCGTGGAGCATCCTCACCTTCCCACATCCCCTGTCCCCTGCCTGCTTCAGGGCTCTGGCTCACGTTCACCTTCCAGAGCACTGTTCCCTCCTCCCTTCACCCAGCCCCTCCCCCAGCACACAGCTCAGCACACAGCTCAACCATCACCCCTCCTGAGAGGTGAGCACCATGTGACACTGTCACTCCTGTGTGGAGCCCTGGGCGGGCTACACATTCCAGAAGACTCTATCCACCTCATGGTCACCAGCTACCTGTGCCTGTGGGTGCCTGGCACGCAGCAGTGGCCCGCTCAGGACAGGCTGGAGTCTGCTGCTGTGCAGGGTCTTCATGTCAGGGCCTCTGGACCATTCTCCCATTTCTCCTGCCCAGGAAGAAGGGACAGACACAGCAGAATGCCCCAGGACCCCTGATGGGGAGCCAAGGTCCCCTGGTACCAGGATGGGGGCTTCCTTGCTGGGCTGATTCATCAGATCCTCAGACATGCCGCCCCAGGACATTGTCTTGTGCCCATGGGCCCACCTCTGCAGTGTCCTGACCTCCCTCCCCATCCCCCAGTGGCTGCCCTGACTTCCCTGCCCCTCACCCTCCCCCAGTAGCTGCCCTGACTTCCCTGCCCATCCCCTGCCCCCAGTGGCTGATCTGACTTCCCTGCCCCTCCCCATGCTGTAGACCCACATTGTGTCTGCTCCAGGCTCTGGTCTGCGCCCTGGTCACCTGTGCAGCTCAGATGCCCCCCAGAGAGGGTGGTGAGCAGCAGGGGTGCTGTCGTCGGTCTGAGAGGCCGTGAGTTGTAGAGGGTATGAGAGATGCTTGAAGTAAATACAAACCAACAACACAGGCCCTGGTTTCTTGCCAGGGTGCTGACCATCGTGAGGGTTCTGTGCCTTCCAGGCCCCCCGGAACCCCTCCCAGCACACATCCCAGGACAATGGAAGGGGAGGAGGGAGGAGGCTGGTCCTGGCCTTCCTGGCTCAGGGAGGATGGATGTCTTGGGAGGACAGGCCAGGAGGAGGGAGGGAGCCCCTGGGGCTGAGGTGACTCCTCCATGACAGCCTCAATCCACAATGTGGCTGAACCACCCTGATGGCAACCACCCTGCAGGCCAAGGGACAACCCTCACATCCTTCAGATACAGGGCAGGTGTCAGGGAGGCTCCGCCATTCCTGTGGGAGTGATTCTGAAGGCCGAGGAGGCTGGGCGGGATGGCTGGGCCAGCCAGGGCGGCTCTTCAGACCAGTGGCTCCAGAGGACGGAGGACGCATCCCAAGGAGGGACGCTGGCTGCCCAGCCTCCCCAGCCTCTGGGCCCCACGGTCATGGCCACACTGCGAGGGCCACTCCTGCTGCTGACCCTTGGCCTGGGTCTGGCCAGTGCTCAGAAGGCTCTGGAAGAGGTGCCAGTAGAGCCGGGGTTTCAGGCCCAGAAGGTAAGGGAGTAGGGTCAGGTCCCTGGAGAAGCCTTGGGGAGGGTGTGGGTGCCTGGCGCTGTGCAGTGGCAGTGCCCCGGGAGCAGGACTTGAGGAGAGAGGCCGGACAGGTGGGCGAGGCGCAGGCTTGCAGGCGGTCAGCTGCCCCTCCAGCCACAGGCATGGCCCAGGTAGGAGTAGGGGTCTTCGTCCGCCCACAGTGCCCACCACTGGACCTGCTGATCAGGGGTGTGAACAGCACTGGGGCAGGAAGGGGCCAGAGTTGATGCACCCATCTGAACCCCTGCCCGTCTCCATCTCTGGCTGGAGCCGGCCAGAGAAGCCATCCAGGACAGGGTCCCTGGGCATCCCTCGCCCCTCCCCAGACCCGGCCAGGGCGTCTGGAGCCCAACGGGACAGCGCTTGGACCAGACACAGGAGCTGAAAGAAGAGAGGCAACAAGAAGAGGCGGGGGAGACAGGACAGCCTGACACAGAAGGACATTCACAACCAGGAACCGGACACCTGTCTCCCACCCCGACCTCCACCGAGGGCACCCCTCTAGCCCCTGACCTCCCCTGGCAGCTCAGTGCCTGCGATGCTGGGGCCTGAGAGCCAACCCCAGAGGCTCGGGTGCTTTGCAGCCAAGGACCCTGCACCACCTGCGTACCTCACACCTGCAGGTGGAGGGCCGCTGGCTGACCATCCAGCTGGCTGCCAGCCGCGCCCACCTGGTCTCCCCCACCGATCCCCTGAGGCTCGGCCTCCACTCCATCTGGACCCGGGATGAGGACGTGGAATTCGTCTTGTTCTGGACGTAAGCATGCCCCTGCAGCTCTTCTCAGGGGGGTTCCCTCTCAGGGGCCTCCCAAGGGACAGTGACCAGTGCTTAGAACCAGAGGGACACGTGGCATGGAGCTGCAGGCTCCAGACCCTTCCAAGAGGAACAAGGTTTCATGTCAGAAGCCCTAAAGCTTTAGGACAAGGAGCAGGGGGGAAACACACAGCCTGGTTCTTCCTGTCCCCGGGGATGAGGCATAAAGACTTGGCCTATGTGTGGAGCCCAGGTGACCCAGGACAGCCTGGACCAGGTTCCCACCCCCCCCCCCCCGCCCCCAGAGACCTGAACCTCCAAGCCAAGGACAGGGAGTTTGACAGCTCAAGGAACAGGAAACCCCTGCTTCCTTACTCCTGCCCTCTGGTCCTGTGTCAGCCCCTCAAGAGCCCACCCCCTCCCCCAGCTGGATGGCCCTGGAAGCCAAGGGAGCCAGGAGACTCAGAGAGGCAGGAGGGACATCAGCCAAGGTTCCTTCAATGTCCCACTGGGGCAGAGCCTGAGCTGGCACCCCAGGGGGCCGAGAGACAGGAACAGGCTGGGACTTCCTATGCCCCCTCCTCTTTTCGCAGAGGAGACGGGGTGTGCAAAGGAGTGAACGTCACCGTCCACCCAACTGGGCTCCAAGGCCAGTTCCAAGGCTCCTGTGAGTAGCCCAGAGCCCCCTGGTCTGGGTGCTGTGCTGGGTATGGGGGGGTGCAGGGGACGCTCGATGCCCTGATCCAGGGGGCTGGAGGAAGTGCGATGCTGGCGGGAGACATCCTCCTGGTGCCCTGCGCTGTCCAGGGGGGTGTCCAGGGTGGCGGTGGAGGAGAGAGGTATCTCCGGTCACCCGGCTGGGGTCTCCCACAGTGGAGGGAGGCAGCAGCATGCACGTCCACTTCGTCAGCACGGACTACAGCAATCTCATTCTCTACATCCGCCTGGAGGACGACGAAGAGACCACCAGCTTGTGGGCCCTGCTGGGTAGGAGGGGGGGTCTCTGTGAGGCTGTGTGGGGTGGCTGCCCAGACCTGAGCATAGGGCCTGCCGCTCCGGGGGTGCAGGGCCTGCCTGGACTGGACGGCTCTGAGCTGCACCCAACGGACACTTCCTCCCTGGCGCCCCTTGGGTTGGGCATCCCTGCACCTGCCCGCTCACTGCCATGGGAATTCATTCAACGGATCGGCAGCACAAGCCCGGATGTCCTGGGGGGGAGGGACAGTCCACTAGAGAAGAACCACTCCCATCTTAGTGGAAGAGATAAACAATGAATCTAAAAGCTACTGAGTCCCATCAGACTTCAGAAAGTGAAAGAGCCACGTGGAGAAGATGGGGGGTCATGAAGGAGGAGGGTGGGCGGGGCCGGGGGTTGGGGGGACACTTTGTCCTGAAGGTACATGGAGGTGGGGGCTAGGGCTGGGTCAGCGGGGAGGGGGCGGCCGGTCCTGCAGGCAGCAGGCTGTTGTGTGAAGGGAGGACCCAGATGTGCGGTGCCCCTTTGGGGAGCACTGCATATCCTCTGACAACAGTGGACCTGCTCTCAGGGGAGACAAGGAGGGAGGGGGACTAGGTGAGGCCCCAGCAGCCAGCCAGTCAGTGGCAGGGCTCAGGCTGGCAGGACGGGACACTCGGAGAACAGACAGGGCCTCTGGGCTCTGGTGCCCTCATCCCCCACCCTGTGGTTTCAGCCAGAAGAGTGCCCGGAGACCCCTTGTGGCTGAGGAAGTACCTTGAGTATGTCGCCAAGTTCCAGCTGCAGCAAGCCCTAGTCTTCAACCTCGATGGTGAGCACAGCCCACGAGACATGTGTCCCCTGCCTCACCCTACTCAGCACCCAGGCCACTGTGCTGGCGCCGTGCCTGCTGGATGGCACAAAGCCCCTGAAACGTGGTGACCTGGGCATGGCCTTGGTTTCCATTCTGCGGATTCGGACTCTGAGTCAGAGAGGCTCCGGCTGTGGAGCCCCTGGTCCCCACACCCCCTCCCCGGGCACCATCAGTCCACGAACACATGCAGGGCTGTGGGTGGGAGCGCGTCGAACAAAGGGACACCTTCTCCAGCTCTGTGCCCGTTCCACGGGGACCTTGTCGTCCCCTCACTGATTTGCTCAGGCCAGGGCTGCGTGCCAGAAAGAGAGCCCGGAGCAGGGGGAGCATGGCCAAGCTGTGGGGTTGTGCCAGGGGGCGGGCAGGCTATGGCCATCTGTGGGTGCTGGGCAGATGAAGGTGACCCCCAGGGGGGACGAGGGCTAAGCCCTGAGTTTGCTTGGTTGCAAAGTGAAAGGGCAAAGCTCCATCTCCACGTCTTCCTCCACAGCTCGGTGCCCCCCCGCCAGAGCCTAGGTCACAGCTGAGGAGCCCTCCTGCCTGGCCCTCCTCCTGCCCACTGCCCTCCCTCCCCCGCTGCCTCCCACCCTCCAGACTGGCTTCCCAGGCCTCCCAAGCCCCCTCCCCACCCCAGCCTGAGCCCGGCCCCCTCCTCAGCCCCCTCTTGGCCTCTCCCAGCCAGGCTCAGGGGCATGACAACGCTGAGCGGCCAGGAGGGGACAGGCAGCCCTTCCCTCCCCCCTGCCCCGAGTCCTGGGCTGCAGTGAACACAGCACTGGAGTCCTCCAGGGACACAACCCTGGTAGGGGCCGCCTGGCGCTCCTGTGACCTGCTTGCACCCAGCTCCTGCCCAGGGACAACTCAGAGAGGCACGCTGGGCCCGTCCCCACCCAGGTCAGAGAGTGCGGAGCAAGCCCAGGACCTGCCCATGCTCCCCAGAGGAGCCAGGTAAACACAGGCTCTTGCACTGGCACAACAGGTGAGCTGAGACAGGCCCCCACCCTGTCCTGGAAGTCAAGGGCGCAGCCAGGGCGGTGTCTGGACGGAAGGCGCCCCCTCTGCCTGGGGAGCCAGGACCACCCACGGAAGGGCAGGGTCTCAGGAAACTGTGTCACGGGCCCCCATACTACCCACCTGGAAATGCCAGAGACAGGTATGACTGGATCCTGCCCCAGGAACGCCCCGGGGGCAGACAAGGTCTCCCAGAAGGCCATGCCTCAGCAAGGCAACACCCACCATAGCCAAGGGTGAGGTCAGCAGGACCTGGATAATCATTTGTGGGCCCCCTCCTGCTTCCCCTCTCCGGGCGGATGTCTACCTGGCGCTCACTCAGATGCCAGAGACCAGCAGGTGCTCAAAGCACGATACTTCCCTGCAAACCAGGAAACCCAAATCAAGAACTAGAATGAACCTGGTATGATGAGGAAGTGATGCTCAGACATTTAGCAAGAAATTGGCAGCATTTATATGGAGGGAAAAAAAAACTTTTTTTAAATCCTTACTCTGGGACAGTGAAAAAAATGACTTAAATAAATGGATATGGGGTATTCCTGCATCATCTTCAATATTATGCATATTTAATTATCCTCAAATTAGCCTGTCCATCCAAGCAGTTCAATCAATACCCCAGTGGAATCTTTACCCTGAAGTGCAAACCTGAATCTAGCATCCACAGGGAAGAACAAAAGTTTTGAAATGCTTCAGAGAGAAGTCACACAAGTACCATCCCGTCGTTAACAAGTGTGAACCGACAGCTATTACGATTGTGCGGAATTAGGGGCAGGAAGAAAGATCTAGGAATAGAGTCACGAAATAATGCAGGAGGCAAATGGCCCATCACACAAGGCATTATTTATTCAATAAACAGTGTTGGGGGGAAATGGCCAAGAGATTTGGAGGAAAAAAATAAGTTTAGATATCTAACTCCTTGCATTGTCTTACGATGAATTCCTGTTTGATTCCTAATAAACACAAAACCTCAAAAGTTCTGCCCCTATCAATAATAACTCAGGGATGGGACCCTACCCTATGAATATAGGTGCATCACTAATACCCAAACCTGAAATTCAATATTGTCAAGAAGCTTGATAATCTCATCTCTGAAGATCTCCACTGGGGCTCATGAAAAGGGACCCAATGTGAGAAAAGTGAGCAGATGCTATTTTTACTTACCAGGTTGGCATGATTCAATTTTTTTTTTTTTTGCAGCTCAGTTGGCACCTGCTGTATGGGGACCCGCGCTCTCGCTCAGAGGGGCGGAACTGCGGGGGACAGTTCTGGGGTGACCTGGCTTTCGTCTGGACAGCCTCATGATGCCCTGCTCAGCCCGAGCTCCCATTCCGGGAAGGGATGGTCTGTGTTCTTGGTGTCAGCTCGTCCCTGTGTATGTGTGTGTGTGTGTGTGAGTGTGTGTGTGTGTGTGTGTGAGTGTGTGTGTGTGTGTGTGTGTGAGTGTGTGTGTGTGTGTGCGCGCGCGCCCTGAGCTCCTGTTGTATAAGGTCACCAGTCTGCCCTGGGGACCTTGTGACCCACCTCGTGACCTCATTTACCTCAATGGCCTCTGTGAAGACCCCATGTCCACAAATCCCTCACAGGGATGCTGAGCTGTGCTCTCCACACCTGCCACCTCCCACGGGGGCAGTTCCCCGTCCTGACCCCACTTGACCCACCTCACCCATGTCCCACCCTTGCGGGCAGCACCGGACTTGCAAAAGCAATGCCGTGGTCCGTCTCCTGCACTGTCCTGTGCCATGGGCTGCTTCGGGACAAAACTCTTGATTTTAATAACTACTTCCTATCCCTCCCTGCGCCCAGCAGAGTGCCTTGACCACACAGCTCAGTGCGTACCTTCATTTTAACGAAAAAACATGCTATGGCTTAAAAAAAATGAACCGGGCATCCCTGTTTGTAACAATAAAAGAAAGGCATGTGTCTGGACATTACCCATGTCCATCACAGGGTATTACTTGTGGGGATTCAACAAAGCAATGCCCACCTCAGGACTGGTGCCTGTTACGTATTCTCCAATGAACCGACAAACATTTATTGTTTTCCCTTTATTTTAATTCTCTGTCCTTTTTGTATTTATATATATTTTTTTCTGGACTACAATCTTTCTCCATTAAAAAAAAATCATTTCCTGCCTCCTAACCGATGTCCCGGCTCTACAATATATAGATCCCAACATCGCTGTGACCAAGCATTAAACAATCGCTTTTATTCTTTATCCTGTTCAGACCAAACTGGACGGTTCAAAACTGCAGGGAGAAACACGTCCCGTGAATGGATGGCTTGCACAACTCCACCTCTGAACCCACAAGAGACTCGGGGGGGCCCTGTGTACTCTAGAACCCATGGCTACGTGCGCAGGCACATGTGGGAGCACTGCGCTGCCTTGACCAACCAAATCTGTGCCGGGAGCTGCAGCGCCGTGTCCCAGCTGTACTCCGGAGACAGCAGCTTGGTGGGCTTGTGGGTGAAAAAGTACTTGTTCAGGTATCTTTCGTAGGTGCTGTTCAGCCCATTTTCCTTGTCGTGAATCATCCCTTCCAGGTATTCTTGGATGAAGTCTAAAATCTCCAGAGGCGTGCCACCCACGACGGAGCCATCATAGTAGAAGTCCCCCTCTCCCAATAGGATGCACGCCGCTGATCTGAACCTCCTCTCGTAAGGGAAGTCCTTTATGTCTTTGAAGTACCACCAGGCATGGAGCTGAGCCACAGACGTGCCCAGGGTCTCCACCCCAAAATCGTTCTGGAAGACCCTGTTGGCCGTCATGCTGAAAAGAAAGTCGACTTCGTCCTGAATGTGCCCTAGGATGTGCGAAGCCAAGTTCTTCATGTGCATGAGGTGAAAGTCCTCCCGGCTGCCTTCTCTGATGGTGAATACCTGGAATGTCTGCAGAGGACCTGGCTCCAGGTTGGGCAGCCGACACATGGCATCCACCATGATGTAGAAGATGACTCTGTAGCCGGTCATGAAGTGCTTATTGGCCGACTGCATGAACAGCTCTAAGTACTGGTCTGCGATCCTGCAAGACACACACATGTACAGAGGAAGGTGCTCCGTAAGAGTTTCAAGGGAAAGAGACATGTCACCAGATGTGTCATCTAACTGACACGTCACGGATGCTACAGAGCCCCCAGTGGGTAAGGGTAGGCAGGTCGAGTCTGCAGGTCCAACTGCACTGGTTAGTGAGGAAGGGTGTGGTGAACCAGGGGGTCTGAGAAAAGCCTTTAAGGTTTTGGAACACCCATTGAAAAGAAAGAAAATGTGAGCTAGGGACGCCTGGCTGGTTCAGCAGTTGAACATCTGCCTTAGGCTCAGGGCATGATCCCAGGGTCCTGGGATCAAGTTCCACATCAGGATCCCTGCAGGGAGTCTGCTTCTCCCTCTGCCTGTGTCTCTGCCTCTCTCTGTGTCTCTCATGAATAAATAAATAAAATCTTAAAAAAAAAGAAAATGTGAGCTAAACAGTATCAGTAGAGACAGCCACATGACATGAATGACCCCATGAAGCAAGGACAAAGCCACATCAGGGTGTTTCTGCAGGATGATGGCAAGATGCGATGGTTACGGGTCCCTGTGGGCGGCCTCCCGGCGGTGGAAGATTCGTATGTACTCGTTTGCTTTTACCTGCCAGTAGCAAGGACAGCCAGGCCTATGGTGAGGTCCTGTCCTCTGTAGTACTCTTCCAGGACCCGTCTATTAAAGGTGCCTTCCCATATGACTGGAGCGAGCCAGTCCGTGGTCGTTACGACATCAGGGCGTTTTCTGTTGAACAAACAAGAAACCAGTAAAGTGGGCTCCACCTTCACGACGACAGCCGCAGAGGCCGTCCGACAGACACCAGTGAACGCAGGCAGAGCACCTACCACGTGCCAGGCACTGTGCAGGTGATTTAAGCAGCTCATTTAATCCTTGCAAGACACGATGCAGTAAGTACTACTGCGATCCTTGTTCTTGGTGTGGGGAAACAGAGGCACAGGTTGGTTGAGTAGGCTGCCTAATGCCACAGAGCTAATATACATGGGTCAGTATGCAAGACCCAGCAACTGAAGGGATGCCTGGGTAACTCAGTGGCTGAGTGTCTGCCTTTGGCTCAGGTTGTGATCCTGGGGTCCTGGGATCGAGTCCTGCTTTGGGCTCCCCGCAGGGAGCCTGCTTCTCCCTCTGCCTGTGTCTCTGCCTCTCTCTCTTTCTGTGTCTCTCATGAATAAATAAAATACTTTTTAAAAAGACCCAGCAACTGCTACTTTTGTCACCATGCTACCTGCCTTTCAGCCCAGGGGCCACATCCTCCGACCTCCAGCTCAGCTTAAATGGGAGCCCAGAATCAGGGTGTCCTGATACTGCTTGAGGCCAGTACTGCAGGCACAGTGCCTCTGCCTCCCCACATCTCCCTAAGTCCTTCAGTTTTCCTTCCTCCTCTCCACTAGCACCTCCCCCCAACCGCGGAAGATCTAGAAGATGCTTCTCTTTAAACCTCCCCTTGCCTTAGGTCCATCACTGCAATCCAGAAGGAAAAAAAATATCTGGGGGCATCACAATGCCAGATTTCAGGTTGTACTACAAAGCTGTGTTCATCAAGACAGTGTGGTACTGGCACAAAAACAGACACATAGATCAATGGAACAGAACAGAGAACCCAGAAGTGGACCCTGAACTTTATGCTCAACTAATATACGATAAAGGAGGAAAGACGATCCACTGGAAGAAAGACAGTCTCTTCAATAAATGGTGCTGGGAAAATTGGACATCCACATGCAGAAGAATGAAACTGGACCACTCTCTTGCACCATACACAAAGATAAACTCAAAATAGATGAAAGATCTAAATGTGAGACAAGATTCCATCAAAATCCCAGAGGAGAACTCAGGCAACACCCTTTTTGAACTTGGCCACAGTAACCGGAGAAGGACAAACAGTGTATGTTCTCATTCATTTGGGGAATATGAATAATAGTGAAAGGGAATATAAGGGAAGGGAGAAGAAATGTGTGAGAAATATCAGAAAGGGAGACAGAACATAAAGACTTCTAACTCTGGGAAATGAACTAGGGGTGGTGGAAGGGGAGGAGGGCGGGGGGTGGGGGTGAATGGGTGACGGGCACTGAGGGGGACACTTGACGGGATGAGCACTGGGTGTTATTCTGTATGTTGGTAAATTGAACACCAATAAAAATTAATTTATAAAAATTAAAAAAAAAGATGAGTCCAAACAGGGACAGAGATATTAGATTTGGTTTCAATAATAGGGCTTAAAACATGCAAAGCTGGTTCAACATTTGAAAATTGTTTGATACACCTACCATCCCAAGAAATTAAATAACAGTCAGGTGCCTGTTATCATTTGACACAGGAAAAAAAAAACATTATACGATGTCCAACAACCATTCATGAAGAAAAAAAGAGAGAAGACTTCCAGAAAAATAGGAATAAAGGAGAATTACCTTAACTTGACAAAGGGCATCATTAGTTTCTCTCTCTTTTTTTTTTTTAAGATTTTATTTATTTATTTGAGAAAGAGAACACAAGCAGGGAGGAGGGGCAGAGGGAGAGGGGGAAGCAGACTTCCTGCTGAGCAGGGGGCCCAATGTAGGACTCAATCCCAGAACCCTGAGATTATGGCCTGAGCCTAAGGCAGATGCTTAACCAATTGTGCCACCCAGGCATCCCAATTTCTTTTCATGCCACAAGTTTATTCACCAACATATTGAGTATGTTGAACTCAAGAGTTTGATCCATTTTTCAAAGAGACTATACCTCTTAAAATGTTACTTTTCACATCCATTTAATGGATTAATTAAACATCCTTATTTCTTTAATTTTTATTTGTTTATGATAGTCACAGAGAGAGAGAGAGAGAGAGAGAGAGAGAGAGAGGCAGAGACACAGGCAGAGGGAGAAGCAGGCTCCATGCACCGGGAGCCCAACGTGGGACTCGATCCCGGGTCTCCAGGATCGCGCCCTGGGCCAAAGGCAGGCGCTAAACCGCTGCGCCACCCAGGGATCCCTCTTTTTTTTTTTTTAATTTTTATTTGTTTATGATAGTCACACACACAGAGAGAGAGAGAGAGAGAGAGAGAGGCAAAGACACAGACAGAGGGAGAAGCAGGCTCCATGCACCGGGAGCCCGACGTGGGATTCGATCCCGGGTCTCCAGGATCGCGCCCTGGGCCAAAGGCAGGTGCCAAACCGCTGCGCCACCCAGGGATCCCCTAAACATCCTTATTTCTTAAGCAGTTGATGTCTTACTATAAAAAAAAAGGTGCAAACAAATCCAGATCCAAAGTACAAAATCATTGTAAGCAGTAACCACCTAAAACTGGGAACAAGGCAAGGAGGCCCATCCTCACCAACTCTTCTTCACCAGAATAGTGTGGATTCTAGCCATTGCAATAAGGCAAGAAGAAGAAATGAAGCCCCGGGGGACTGGAAAGGAGAAAATAACAATGACCCTGTTTGCAGATGACTTGTATATATATAAAATCCTACAAAAAGGGGTGCCTGGGTGGCTCAGCAGTTGAGCATCTGCCTTTGGGTCAGGGTGTGACCCCAGGGTTCTGGGATCGAGTCCCACATCAGGCAGGGAGCCTGATTCTCCCTCTGCCTGTGTCTCTGCCTCTCTCTGTCTCTCTCATGAATAAATAAATAAAATATTTTTTAAAAAAAACTCTTGAATTCAACATAATCAATATATTGTGAATAAACTTGTGGCATGAAAAAAAAATTGGGATGTCTGGGTGGCAAGTTGGTTAAGCATCTGCATTGCCAGGGAGATGCAGATCAAAACCACAGGGAAATGTCACCTCACACCTGTTAAAAGGCCTGTATAGAAATAGATAAGAGATAACAAGTATTGGTGAGTGTGTGGAGAAAAGGGAATCCTTGTGCACTGTTGGTGGGAATGCAAATTGCTGAAGCCACAGTGCAAGACAGTGTGGAGGTTCCTCGATATTTTTAAAACAGAAATTTCAAAAAGGAACCAATCTCACCTCTGGATATTTACCTGAAGAAAATGAAAATACAAATTCCAAAAGATATATACTCCATCATATTTATTGCAGCATTATGTATAATAGCCAAGGCATGGAAGCAACCTAAGTGCCCCTTGATAGGTGATGAACAGATAAGAAGATGTGGTGTATATATGCAATGGAATATTACTCAGCCATTTAAAACAAAGCCATACTGTCTTATTTCTTCACATGTTTGGTAATTTGGGGTTGAAAAGTGGATCATTTAAATAATGTGGCCACTCTATAAATCAGATTCTTTCTAACGGAGCAGAGGTTTCAGTGACCATAAATGACAAAGAATACAGGCTTTATAAAAATAGTTCAGAAGCTATTAAAACTAAAGAACATAACAATAAATGGCAAGCGCACATGGTGGGGAGGGCAGGAGGACCTGGTGCAAGGCCACTGCAGAGTTGGAGAGAAGTACCCAGCCCACAACTGCTTAAAATGCCAGAAACCTCACTATTCTTTTTCTGGAGCAAATGCTCCCCCAGATTGGTGCAAGCCTTTGATTTCCAGAGTTCTGAAAGAGTTGATTATAGCAATTTTTGCCAGTTTCTTCATTGGTTTTATGAAGGATAAAGTTGGGGGAGGTTATCACTCTTCACTTTTGGTGACATAACTCTAGAGACTCTTGTACCGTCTGTTGGCAGCACCAAGCATCATAAAGCAAGAACTCTGGGAATTCACTTGGACGTCGACCTTGGAAAACTCCTGGTATGACCTTCTACTTTGGATGGTCCAGTGCCCTGCCACCCAATGGCTCCACCTCCACCTGGTGCAGGTTCCGCACACACATGCCAGGTGACCTGTATGAAGGGTGCCAGCAAAGCAGAGAAATGACCCAAGTGCCCACAAGCAGGACAGCTGATGGATAAACTCCTATATTTCCACACTGGATGTTTACACAGCTGCCCAAAATGAACCTCAGTAATGTGCAAAACTTGGGTGAATCTTACAGTATCAAGAGAAAATAAAAATCCCAGAAGAGTACCTAAGTGTGATATCTTCTTTATATAAAGTTACAGGGGACAGAGTAAAGGGATGGGAAAGGATATGCAGGTTTTCATTTCCGTTGCATTAAAATAAGCAAGCAAGCAAATGCAGAAATAATACAAGCAGGCTTGCATGAACCCATGATAACAGTGTTGTGGATCATGGATAAGATTCATCCACGAAAGGGCAGCCCGGGTGGCTCAGCGGTTTAGCGCCACCTTCAGCCCAGAGCCTGATCCTGGAGACCCGGGATTGAGTCCCACATCGGGCTCCCTATACAGAGCCTGCTTCTCCCTCTGCTTGTGTCTCTGCCTCTCTCTCTGTGTGTCTCTCGTGAATAAAATAAATAAAATCTTTAAAAAAAAAGAAAGATTTATCCATGAAGCTGAGGTCCATTTAAAATACATAAATATGTAAGGAAAACGCTCAGAGAAGCTCAAATACAAATGAATGATCAACATACCAAAATACGCTCAAACGGTAATAACTGCAGATAGGCAAACTGACTTGGGATATTTTAAACTAGCAGTTTTGCCTAGAATAAGAGATTTTTCTGATACCTTACTTTATCCACAGTACATAAGAAACTAAAATGGTACGATTGTTGAGAGGGAGTTTAGCAACCTACATCCAAATTATAAGTGCCCCCTTTCTTTGAGCTCATGACTTTGTTTGGGGGGATTTGTCCCACAGATCGACTCACATGACAGTGTGAAAACACCTACATACAAGGTTAATCACTGGAGCCTTACTTGCAAAAGCTCCAAACTACAGACCACCTAAAACCAGTGGCGAGTTACAGGTCTGCAACCAGAAAGTCAGGCACTATGCAGCCATTACAGACATGGGGCCTCCCCATTGCTGGTGCCGGAATCAAGAGGAGCCATCACAGTAGTTTCAAACCACTTCCAAAGAGAGTCTTTCACTGACAAGACCAAGGAGGTCAAACCAAGGAGAGTGTGTCAGGATGAAGAGCCTAAACAACGAAAACTCCAGGGATGCCCAGGTGGCTCAGTCGGTGAAGGTTCTGCCTTCGGTTCAGGTCATGATAGCAGGGTCCCAGGATCGAGCCCCGCGTCAAGTTCCCTGCTCAGTGGGGAGTCTTCTTTTCCCTCTCTCTCCCTCCCTCCTGCTCATTCTCTCTCTCTCTCTCTCTCTCTCTCTCATATAAATAAATAAAAATATTAACAAAAGAAAAAGAAAAGAAAATGAAAACTCCAGCCCTGGGAGCCTCCCAGGGCAGCTCTAATGGGGTGATCAGAAAAAAATCTATCGCTCCACACTGAGCACCATTATTTGTGTGAGAGCAGACATGTCTATTCTTACCTCGGATTGAACCAGTCTGAGAGCCGGAGTTCTACTTCATCCCTGGTGAAAAGGGAAAACTGGGTTATTGTGGGTCATCCATGTATCCAGCAAACATTTCCGGAGCCCCGTGGTGTGGCAGGGGCTGTCGGGCACTGGTTCAAAGCTGTCGGCGTACAGCCTGTGCACTGACCTCGAGAAGCCAAGGAGACAGCCCTCCGGGGTCCCCAGGGTAGGAGCTGCTAGCTGGGTAGGTGGTAGGATCAACCCCATTTGGGGGTCAGGGAGCCTCATAGTTTGGTGCCGAGTGATGGCCAGAGTGGGGACGGCAATAAAGGGCTTGTGGGCATGCCACTGGGAGGATTTACCAAACCCACAGTAGCACCAGCTTAGAGGCTGTGAACGGAGATGGCACAGGTTCTCCCCCCTCGTTCACCACCAGA